CACGCTTCGGTGCGACACGCCATCAACGTCCCCATTCCCAGAGGTCAACGTCCCAAGCGTTCCCGTGCCTCCCGCCCCGCAGATCGGAGGGACGCGCTTTCCGCTTGGAAGGCATGGCGTGTCGACGGGGCCGCCGCGGCGACATTCCAAGCAAAAGTGTCTGACCATAGCAGTTCAAAGTTCAAGGTTTTCGGACGTTTTCGTCGGATCTCAGCGGCTTTCCAGCCTCAGGGTGTCCACCAGCAGCTGCGCCTCGCCGAGAGCTTTCCGGGGGTGCCTGGATCGTCCCGAACGGCCGCCGGAGACCAGAGTTCTGACCCGAACGCCAAGCGACGAGGATCACCTGGGGAGAGTAAGTTAAGGGGGGACGCATCGTCCCCCACTCGCCCACTGATCGCCGATATGGGCACGATGGCCCACCCCGCCCAGGAACGCGCGGATTCGCCATCGGGGGCGTATCGCCGATGTGTCGGCGATGTGTCGCCGATTCCAGGTCGATGCTTGCCCCCCTCAGCCAGTCCCCCCCAAATCCTTCCCCCCACGCCTGCCGCCGCCGCTGCCGCCTCCAGGAGGAGGGGGAGGAGGTGGTGCGCGGCGGCTGCGCTCTGGGGGCGGCGGCCAGCAGCGCCGCCGTCGAAAGACTGAGATGTTTCGTCTCTCCGCCAGGGCCCTCACGGGGGCGGGGCCAATGTTGTAGCGAGGCGAAGCGGGGTGCAGCAGGGGGGGAGGAGGAGGAGGAGGAGGAGGAGGAGGAGGAGGAGGAGGAGGAGGAGGAGGAGGAGGAGGGAGAAGGAGGACAAGGAGGACAAGGAGGACAAGGAGGACAAGGAGGACAAGGAGGACAAGGAGGACAAGGAGGACAAGGAGGGGCGGAGGGGCGGGAAGAGGGGGCGGAGGGTGAGGGCGAAGAGGGTGGATGATGATGCTGGGGATGAAAATCATGGCGATGAGAATGGCTGTGGTGAAGATTGCGACGATGGTGATGATGATGGCGACGATGGTGATGATGATGCCAAGGAGGAGGAGGAGGAGGAGGAGGAGGAGGAGGAGGAGGAGGAGGAGGAGGCGGAGGCGGAGGCGGAGGCGGAGGCGGAGGCGGAGGCGGAGCAAGAGGAGGAGGAGGAGGAGGAGGAGGAGGAGGAGGAGGAGGAGGAGGAGGAGCAAGAGGACGAGAAAGAAGAGACAAAGAAGGACCAGGGACTTGGAGGAGCTGGAGAACGACGACAAAAACAACGACGAGGAGGACGACGACCATGACGGTGGGGACGGCCTGCATGGGGCCTGGGGCATGGGGCAGGCTTGGGAGCACTCAGCCTCCGCCCCGCTTGCGCCTCTCGCGCCCCCGCCACTCCCGGCCCCTCCTGGCCTGGCCAGGCCGGTCGGGGCCTTCGGCTCAGGCGAGGGGGGCATCGAGGACGAGAAGCCTCGCTATACAGGCACCCCGAAGAGACCACTTTGGATCTGGATTTGCCGTGCTTGCGGGAGACGCTCCAGCGGTCGCGACAGCCGCTGGCCGCAGCTCACCGCCGCCGGCGATGCTCAACGACCTCCCCCGGTCATCCAGCAGTTCCCCTGGACCGCCCCGCGCCCCCAGCCCGACGCCACCTCGCGTCGCCGGGGAGCCTCCACCTAGGAGGCCTCTACGTGCCCACCGACGCGCACAGAGCCAGCGACACCGCGCGTCATCGCGCCGCCCGCCCCCCCCCCCCGCGCACCCCCCCCTGGGCATGCCTCACAGAGGCGGGGGGTGGGTGGGTGCGGGGGGGTCCTTTTCCAGGTTCCTTTTCCAGGTTTGATTGCGCGGCGCTTGTAGGTTCTTTTCCAGGTTTGATTGCGCGGCGCTTTTCCAGGTGGGGTGGCGTCCTCTTCCAGGTTTGGTTGCGCGGCGCTTGCAGGTTCTCGCGCACCGCGTATCGCTTGCCTGCGAGGTCGCCTCGCTGCGCTTCTGCTGGCTCGCAGCCCAGGGGGGCCTGCCCCGCGGGGCAGGGCGGCCGCCTCCCCCCGCGAACGCGGGAAGGACCGCCCCGGCGAGCGGCGACGAGGGGCCTTCCTTCCTCCGCCGGGGCCCCTGGCGCCCAGGCGGCGGCCCCCCTGGCCCCGGCCACCCGCGACACCCGCGAGCCGCGCAACGCGCTGCGCGGGCAGCGCGGCCCGTCGGTCGGCGACCCGGGAGGGGCGGCGCGCGCTAAGGTGCCCCCGGCCATCTCCGTCCGCGACCCCGGCGCGATTGAGAGGCGCCCTTGAGGCCCCCTGCGGGCGCCGCGGCCGCCGCTGGCGATCCTGGCCCTTCGGGGCCAGATGCCCGCCTGCTGCTCTGGCACGGTGGGTCGGTCGAGCGCTCATGGGGTGCGAGGGAAACGCGCCGCGCGCAATCGCGCGCACAGCGCGCCTGAAGGCAGCTGCTGAGCCCCTTTCGGTGCCGTCTTCGGGCCCTCCTAGGCTGTCTTGCGCACTTCTTGGGCCGTCCCCGACCTCGTGCCAAGGTTGACCTGCGGCGGTGCTTCGCCATCGGCGACCAGACGGGCTTCCACCCTGTGTGAGCGGTTGCCTCGCGGCCCGCGCGCGCGGCGACCCCAAGCACGATCGGGGGCCATCGCGCGCGCCCATCGCGCCGACCGCCCGGAGACCACTCGCTTGCGCCGAGTGCGGGGGGGCCGAAGGAGGACAAGGACCACCAAAAAAATGACGAGGACGAGAGCGATGAGGACGGAGAGTACGAGTGTAACAAGGAAGACGGGGAGAAGGACGAGAAGGACTTGGACGATCAGGAGCAGGAGCAGAACGAGCAGGAGCAGGAGCAGGGGTACGAGAGGAACGCTGAGGAGAAGGAGAAGGAGGAGGAGGAGGAGGAGGACGCGGAAAAGGAGGATGAGGAGCACGAGCGGGAGCCCGAGGAGTAAGAGCGGCCGAGGAGGACGGAGGAGCCAGAGCAGGAAAAGATGTTTTTATTGCGACGTCTAGAGGTTGAGCCGCTGACACCGCACAAACCGAGAACATTTCAACCATAAGAACGATGACGACGACGACGACGACGACGACGACGACGACGACGACGACGACGACGACGACGACGACGACGACGACAAGGATCACGAGGAAGGAGGAGGATGAGGAGGTGGAGGAGGAGGAGGAGGAGGAGGAGGAAGATGAGGAACACGAGCGGGAGCCCGATGAGAAGAGCGGACGAGGAGGACGGAAGACAGAGCAGGAGCAGACGTTATACGAGTTCTCGAGGTTGGGTTCTCCACCCATCACAAAACAAGCAAGAGGAGGAGGAGGAGGAGGAGGACGACGACAAAGAGGACGAAGAGGAAAGGGGAGGAGGGCAACGGGGAGAGGGGGCAGCGACGACATCGACGACGACGACGACGACGACGACGACGACGACGACGACGACGACAACGACGACGACGACGACGGTACGGACGAGGCAGGCGGAAGAGCGTGCGGCGACAACGGCGACGACTACAAACGCCGCCGAAAGCCGCCGACGACGATGACGACAACGACGGCGCCGCGACCATGGCGGCGGCGGCGGCGGCGACGACGACGACGACGACGACGACGGCGACGACGACGACGACGAAGCCAACGCCGACGCCGGCGCCGACGTCGACGCCGACGCCGTCGCCAACGCTGACCACGACTACGACCACGACGACGGCGGTGACGATGGCGCGACGGCGGTGACGATGGTGGCGGTCACGACAATGGCGACGACGATGGCGGTGGCGATGACGAGGGAGATGGCCACTCCAGACGCCCCCCAGAGCTGTTTTCGGGTGCGTTCCGACAGGGCTGTCGAGGGGAATGCAGCCGTGGCCACGGGAGCTCCTCAGGAGGCCCGAAGAGGACACCGAAGCTGCACAAAGGCCTCGACCGTCGAGCCTCGACACGCAAACCTCGATCGTCGATTTGGGGCTCGACCTTGGAACCTCATTCCTCGAGCCTCGCCGACGACGGCGGCGGCGGCCGCGGCGAAGACAACGGCGACGACGGCGACGACGACGGCGACGACGACGACGGCGACGGCGACGGCGACAGCGACGGCGACGGCGACGGCGCCGGCGCCGGCGACGACGGCGACAACGACGACGACGACGACGACGGCGACGGCGACGGCGACGGCGACGACGACGACGGCGACGGCGACGGCGACGGCGACGGCGACGGCGACGGCGACGACGACGACGACGGCGGCGAGCGCCCCGCGGCGCGAGCCGCGCAGGAGCTCGGGGCGCCGCCCCGCGGGCCCCGGTTGCAGGCGACGCCGAGGCAGCCCAGGCCCAGCCAGCTGCCGCAGGCGCCGCCGCCCCTCCTCGGCCTCGCCGTCAACGCCGCCGCTGATGTGGCCAGTCGCCGCCGCAGACTGCGCAGCCGTCGCTGCCCCCGCCGCCGTCGCCATGGCCACCGTCGCCGCCGTCGCCGCCGTCGTGGCGGTCGTCGTCGCCGCCGTCGTCGCGGTCGTCGTCGCCGCCGTCGTCGTCGCCGCAGCCGCCGCTGCCGACACTGTCGTCGTCGTCGCCGCCGGCGAGGCCGCCGCGCTCGCGCCGCCGAAGGCGGAGGGGCCGCCGATCTCCCCGGCGCTGGGGGCGCCGCCCCCCGCCGCACGCCCTGGGGAGGGGGGAATTCCTAGCCCTGCCGAACGGGGTCCGAGCAGGTTGGGGCGGAGGATCGCGCCGAATCGCCGGTGCAGCAGCGGTGCGGCTCGACGTGCAGCCCGATGTTTGCCGAGACGTGTGCCGATGGAGTCAAGACGCTGGGCTCTTGAGGGGTTCTTGTTTGCGGGCCGTACCTTGGATCTACAGGTCGGGGGCCCTACTTGTTGTCGAGGCTAGCCGTGGCCAGAGAAGCCCCTTCATTCATCATTCAGCGCTCCTTATGGTAGCACGGTGACTAGATGTGTCCCTCTGGGCCATATTGTTGTACTGTGCCGTTTGTCCGAAGTTATTGTAGGCTCCAGTGGGTCTCCAGAACACGGTTTCGCGTGTGGCTGTGCGCCCAGAGATTGCATGTTTTGAGTCACGTTGCATTGGTGGACGCATGTTTCATTGATGGGAAGAAGACGAACAGACTGAGCAGACGGTTGTCCTTGTGGCTTGCTTTTGTCGCGGGGAGAAGACAGAGCTCAGGGTAGCCCTCTGAGGGCCAGCAGGTGCGCCGAGTCCGCGGCTGGCACTCGGCACTTCAGGAGAAGGGTGGAGAGGGGGCCCACGTAGGCCCCGCATGCATCAGCGAGGTTGCAATGCAGTCGGGAATGCTTGCTTAGCGTGTCGCGCCGCCGGTTCTTGCCAAGCGTCAAGGTCCCGAGCACTTCGAGGCCAGAAGAGATGTGAAGGGTAGGTAAAGAAATGACTTGTGGAGCCACTGTATTGAAAAAGCACCGCCCTCCATCCGCATGATTGCTCCATTTGCTTAAGACAAAGGCTCGCGGCGCTGAGGCGAGGGCAACCTGTCGAAAGCGATGCGCCGTGCATTCGCAAACCTTCTTCTGGACAGTGTTCGAGACGAGAGCGCGCGGCGCTTCGGCGACAGCCTCATTTTGATTTGAAAACCTGCTTTCATTTCAGGCGTGTTCAGACGAATGGTCCGTAGCCTTAGGTCGGGCATGTCCCCCTACAGGGGGATTTTCTACGAAAAAAATTATCCCGGCAAAGCAACCTAACAGCGATGTGTAGAAGCATAGCTGGAAACATTGCCTTTGGTATTCATGTAAGAGTGCTGTTGTAGAATTCAGGTGCTCTCGCAGTCGCATTCGGACTCGCAGTGGCAGTCGCAGTGGCAACATCAGTCGCAGTCGCAGTCGCAGTGGCACTGCCAGTAGTTGCACTAGCAAGAGCTACACTAGCAGCAGCAGCAGTAATAGTAACAGTAGTACTAGCAGTAGAAGTAGTAGTGATGGTAGTAGCGGTAACAGTGAAGTAGTAGTTGTAGTGGGTGGAGTGAACGAGTAGGAGCAATGGGAGCAATGGTAGTAGCAGTAGAAACACTTGTAGCAAGAGTAGTACAAACGAGACACTGCTATCAATCAGCCCATCTTCGAACGAGACACTGCTATCAATGGGTGTACTTTCGAACGACTCACGGCTTTCGATAACTGTATCTCCAAATGAGATGTTTGTATCAACGCATTGAAGTCGAAGCGAGACACTGCTATCAATGGATGTAGGTCCAAACGAGACACTGCTATCAACCGATTGAGTCTCAAACGATACATTTGCATCAATGGTTTTTAGCCCCAAACTGGATCTCAATGTATTCGGCACGAAGCGAGACACTGTTGTCAATGGATGTAGGTCCAAACGAGACATTGCTATCAACCGATTGAGTTTCCAACGTTACATGTGCATCAATGGTTTTTAACCCCAAAATGGATTTCAATGCATTCAGGTCGAAGCGAGACACTGCTATCAATGGATGTAGGCCCAAACGAGACACTGCTATCAACGGACGGAGTCTCAAACGATACATTTGCGTCAATGGTTTTTAGCTCCAAAATGGATTTCAATGTATTCAGGTCGAAGCGAGACACTGCTATCAATGGATGTAGGTCCAAACGAGACACTGCTATCAACTGATTGAGTCTCAAACGATGTGTTTGCAACGCTCGGCACGCTCTCCCTAAGGCGCTGGTGTGTACCATCGTTGGCACAGCAGCACCACTGCATGTAGGATGCAGACGGAGGAGCCCCGCATCTCACGACGCACGGGTACACACGAGCGCAGGCCGAGAAACATCACGCGAGTGCAGGCTGAGAAGCACCAAGCGGGCAGGCTGAGCAGCACCGCCACAAAGCAGCCTGTGTCTCACGGTTCCTCAAGCTCGCGCAGGCCAGCCTAGCTCTTGTCGGGCTTTCGCGCAAGCGATCTTCGTCGCGGCAATCTTGTCCGTGAAGAGCTCGGCGAAGGCCTTGGCGATCTGTTCCGGGGGGCCGGATTCGATGATGCTCCGGTCAGGCAAGCCGTGGCTCAAGAGCTGGCCGAAGCTCCTGGGCCGCGACAGGCTGACGTAGTAGGCCAGCCAAATGGACTCCTTCTTGAGTCCTGGCGGAAACGCCCAGTGCACGATGAAGCCTGGGTCCGCCGTCTTGCCTTGCACGATGACGACACAGAACAAACCGGGAATCGGCTGGCGAGAGATCTGACGGAGACATCCAGTAAGCAAAATGTGGCCCAGGAGTGGAGTTCTGGGGGCTCGAAGAAGACGAAGTGGCCTACAGTTGGCTCCGGACATCCAAAATGTGGCCCGGGAGTGGAGTTCTGGGACTTCGAAGACCACGAAGTGGCATACAGTTGGCTCCGGGCACCCAAAATGTGGCCCGGGAATGGAGTTCTGGGGGCTCGAAGAAAACGAAGTGGCCTATGGTTGGCTCCGGGCATCAAAAATTTGGCCCGGGAGCTGAGTTCTGGGAACTCGAAGACCACGAAGTGGCTTACAGTTGGCTCCGGGCATCCAACATGTACGCCGGTAATGCAGTTTTGGGAACTCGAAGACCACGAAGTGGCCTACAGTTGGCTCCGGGAATCCAAAATGTACGCCGGGAATGGAGTTCTAGCAGCGCCAAGAGCGATTTTGCGAGGATGTCCCAGGCGATTTGGGTTTCGACGGCAGCCGCCCCGGGTCCCGCCCCGACCCCCCTGAGGAGTCATGATGCTTTCTTTTGAGCCTACTAGAAGCCTATCAGTCTTCGCTGTTAGGTAATTATCCCGGCAAAGCAACCTAACAGCGATGTGTAGGAGCATATCTGGAAGCATTCCCCTTAAGATTCGGATGAGAATCCAGTTGTAGAGTTCTGCTGTTCTCGCAGTCGTAGTCGCATTCGCGCAGTGCAAACGGCAGTCGCAGTCACAGCCTCAGCCTCGCCTGCCTCAGCCTCAGCCTCAGCCTGCCCTGCTTCAGGCCTCCGCCTAAGTCTTCCTTCCAGCCTCGGCTCAGCCTCCGCCGCCTCAGACTCAGACTGCCTTCAGCCTCGGCCTCAGCCTCAGCCTGCCTCAGCCTCGCCCTGCATCAGCCTCAGCCTGCCTCAGCCTCAGCCTCAGCCTGCTTCAGCCTCAGACTCAGTCTGCCTTCAGCCTCGGCCTCAGCCTCAGCCTGCCTCAGCCTCACCCTGCATCAGCCTCAGCCTCTGCCTCAGCCTGCCTCAGCATCAGCCTGCCTCAGCCTCAGCCTCAGCCTGCCTCTGCCTCAGCCTCAGCCTGCTTCAGCCTCAGCCTCAGTCTGCCTTCAGCCTCGGCCTCAGCCTCAGCCTGCCTCAGCCTCAGCCTGCATCAGCCTCAGCCTAAGCCTCAGCCTGCCTCAGCCTCAGCCTGCCTCAGCCTCAGCCTCAGCCTGCCTCAGCCTCAGCCTCAGCCTCAGCCTCAGCCTGCTTCAGCCAAAGCCTCAGTCTGCCTTCAGCCTTGGCCTCAGCCTCAGCCTGCCTCAGCCTCAGCCTGCATCAGCCTCAGCCTCAGCCTCAGCCTGCCTCAGCATCAGCCTGCCTCAGCCTCAGCCTCAGCCTGCCTCAGCCTCCGCCTCAGCCTGCTTCAGCCTCAGCCTCAGTCTGCCTTCAGCCTCGGCCTCAGCCTCAGCCTGCCTCAGCCTCAGCCTGCATCAGCCTCAGCCTCAGCCTCAGCCTGCCTCAGCATCAGCCTGCCTCAGCCTCAGCCTCAGCCTGCCTCAGCATTCAAAATGTGGCCCGGGAATGTAATTCTGGGAACTCGAAGAACACGAAGTGGCCTACAGTTGGCTCCGGGCATTCAAAATCATGCCCAGGAATGGAGTTCTGGGAACTCGAAGACCACGAAGTGGCCTACACTTGGCTCCGGGCATTCAAAATGTGGCCCGGGAATGCAATTCTGGGAACTCGAAGAGCACGAAGTGGCCTACAGTTGGCTCCGGGCATCCAAAATGTGGCCCAGTAATGGAGTTCTGGGAAGTCGAAGACCACGAAGTGGCTTACAGTTGGCTCCGGGCATCCAAAATGTGGCCCGGGAATGGAGTTCTGGGAAGTCGAAGAGCACGAAGTGTGTGACTGTTGGCTCCGGTTATTCAAAATGTGGCCCGGGAATGGAGTTCTGGGAGGTCGAAGAGCACGAAGTGTCTGACTGTTGGCTTAAAACGAGCCCGGCTCTGTTCCCGGTTCTTTTCCCCGGCACCCGCCCAGACCCCCCTTGTGGAGTCATCAGATGTTGTTTTTTGAGTCCGCTAGAAACCTATCAGCAAAAGCTGTTAGGTAAAAAACTACCCCAAAAATCATCAAACAATAATCGACAAATAATCTGGGGATTATTTTTTGCGTATTTGTTGACCTTTTGGTGGCATTTTTGGGATATTTTTTATTTTCGTCACGCCCGACATAATCGTAGCCTCTGGCCCAATCGTGGCTCCGACCCGCGCGGGCTGTGCCCCCGGGGCCCCGCGCCCCGCTCCGGGTCGCGCCCCGATGGACAGCGGGTGGCTGAAGGCGCAAGCGGAGAAGCTGGCGCAGGCCGCGCAGCAGCGGGCCGACGACCTGCAGCAGCGGGCCTCGCAGCTGGCCGAGACCACGATCCACAACGCGCTCGGGACGAAGGTTCGGCACGATCGACTCGACAGCGGCAGGGCTGTAAATTGGCCGGCCGGGTAAATGTGACCCCTTGTGGGGGAGCGGATTTGGCGCTCAATGGAACTGGTCTTGCCCATGGACGGGCATCGTGTGCTTGTGTTCGCTGGGGGGAGAAACAACAAACGTTCGGCACGATCGAAATGGGTACGGAAAAAATGGGCACAGAGAAGAACAGCAATTCCTGCTCATTTTGAACAGGGCTCGCTGTCCACGCCGCCGCGGCCTGTGTCCATTCGAGACAGAAGGCCGCCTGCCCAACAGCGGCCGCTGTTGGTTTGGGACAACATTTGTTGTTGGGCATTGTACCCATTTTTTCCGTACCCATGTCGGGCACCCAAAAAGGTTGGCGCCAAGGAGGTCGAGTTCGAAGATTGGGAGCTCGGCTTCGCCCTGGAGTGCGTCACCGTGGTCTCGGTCGAGGCCGGCGCGCAGGCCGACCGGTTGGGCGTGGAGGTCGGGGACCGCCTGGTGGCGGTGGACGGCTACCCCGTCCCGCCGTTCGAGCCAGGCACGAAGGAGGAGACGAGGGCGAAGAAGATGATCAGGCAGTGGATGGACGAGATGCCGCGCCCCGCGACCCTGACCTTCCAGCCCTTGGCCCCGCAGCCTGCCGAGGCCGCCCCCGCCCTCGGCGCCGGCGCCGAGCTCGACGACGCCCGCAGGCGCGCCCGCGAGCGCCTCGAGGAGGCGCGACGGCGCGCGCAACAGGCCGAGGACGCGGACCTCGGCGCCGAGGCGGAGGCGGCGACGCCCGAGGACGCCCTCGTAGCCTCCGGGGCGTTTGCGGAGGCGGACGCTCCCGACGACATCTTCGAGGTGGGCGACGACGAGGACGGGGCGTCCTCCGCTGCCGGGGCGGCCGCGGGGGCGCTGGCCGCCGCGCCGCCGGGCGCGCAGGCCGCCGAACCCGCCGCCGCCGCCGAGGCGGCTGGCCGGCAGGCGTCGCCGTCGCCGTCGCCGTCGCCGTCGCCGTCGGATGGTGTGGAGGCCGATCGGCGGCAGTGTGCGCTGCTGCAGCGGAAGGTCGCGGAGCTGCAGAAGCAGGTCGCCGCGCTGCGGGCCGAGAACAAGGAGATCCTGCTCAGCGCCAGCAGCGGCGAGGCCGACAGCTTCGAGGCCCTGGAGGCGGCCACGATGCGGGAGGCGGCGCTGCGCGAGGAGGTGTCCCGGCTGCGCGAGGCGATGCAGAGCGCGGCGGTGGCGTCGGCGGAGGCTGCGGCGCTGCGGTCGCGGGCGACGGAGGAATCGGCCACGCGCAGAGGGGGGGGGGACGGGGAAGGCTTCTCAGAAGTACCCCCCTTCTTAGAAGGCGCGGGAACTGCACAGAGGATAGCGTCGAGGGGAGTGCGCAGGGGAAAACAAAACAAAAACAAAAGAAGGCGCGGGAGCCCCTTCTAAGAAGCGTGTGGCTGCTTCCTGGAAGCTGTTCCTGGCGTGCTTCTACGAAGCAGGCGGCGTGCTTTTAAGAAGCTGTTGTTGCTTTTAAGACGCAGCTCCGTGCTTCTAGGAAGTTGCTGGGGTGCTTCTAGGAAACGGCGCGTCCCTGGCTTCTTAGAAGGGCGGTCGGCGCCTTCTAAGGGGCAGCCGCCTTCTAAGAAGCCTTCCCCCCTCTCCCTACCCCCTTGTGCGCGCCGACAGAGGAGGCCGAGCAGGCGCAGACGGAGGCGAAGGAGGTGCAGAGATCTGCAGACGCCAAAACGGCCGTCGCCGTGGCAGAGGCCACTGCCAGCCACGCCAAGGAGCTGGAGGCCCTGCGCGCCCAGCTGCTGGAGGCCGAGGCGCGGGCGACGGCGGCTGCCCAGCGGCTGGAGGCCACGGAGCGGGAGCTGCAGGGGCTCGGGCAGGCGCACGAGGCCGAGATCGAGCTGCAGCTCGAAGAGCGGCGAGCGCGGGAGGAGCAGCTGCAGCGGCAGCTGGAGTCCCTGGAGCGGCACGGCGCGGCCGCGGAGCGGCAGGCCGCCAGCGAGCTCGAGGCCGCCCGCGCGGAGGTGGAGGAGGCCAGGCGTCAGACGGACCAGCAGCGGGTCAGGGCGGAGGCGGCCGCCGCCGACGCCCAGGCCGCCGCCACCGAGGCGGCCGCGGCACGCCTGGAGGCCGCCGCGGCGGCGGCTGCGCTGGCGGAGGCCGGTGCCGCTGCGGAGGACCTGGTGGAGGAGCCCGACGACGGGCTTGAGCAGGCCCCGCGCGCGACCGCGGGCGGCGACGCGGAGGCGCTGCGGATGCAGATCGCCGCCCTGGAGAGGCGTTGCGTGCTGCTGCAGAAGAAGCTGCACGCACGGCCAGCAGTGGCGCGCACTGCCTCCGACGCAGGCCCGTCGCAGCCCGAGCGACCGGCGTGGGCGCAGCGCGTCGCCGCGGTGGCGGGGCCTGCTGCCGCCGAGCTGGCGGTGCTGGGCTACCTCGCGGCTGACGGGGCGATGCGCTCCTTCACCCGGCAGCTGCTGAGGAGGGGCATCGTGATGTGGCTCTTCTACACGCACCTCCTGGTGCTGTACACCGTGTCGATGTCGGCCCTCTCGCAGGCCACATCTGGAGCCGACGGAGACCCGGTGGACACAATCAACGTCCTCATCAAGGACGGCCGAGCGCACGCGGGCGCCGGGACGGGCGCGCCCGTGGAGCCGCCTGGCGGGTGAGCGTTCTTCCGCCTGCCTCCATCCCTCCCGTTTCCCCCCCACCTCCCTCTGCCCCCGCACGCCTCGCCCGCCCCGTGCACCGCGGGGCCTCGGCCCTGGGACTCCGCGCCCAGGGAGGCTGGCCGGCCGCCATCTATCCGTGTGGAAAGTTCCAGGCCTCTTTGGCGGGGAGATCTTATGCGCAGGGCCCAGCCCGCCCCACCGACACGCCTCGCGGTGCGGCGAGAAGCAGAGACTGCTGATGAGGAAGGGGGAATGGGGGAGGTGGGGGACGTGAGCGGGGGTGAGGCGGGGTGGAGGAGGAGGTGGGAGGAGAGGAGAGGGCGGGAGCGGGATGAGGGGGGAGGGAAGGAGAGGGGGAGAAGGCGGAGGGGAAGGCGAGGAGGAGGGAGGGGACACGAGGAGGAGGAGGAGGAGGAGGAGGAGGAGGAGGAGGAGGAAGGAAAAGAGGGGGAGAAGGAGGAGGAGGAGGAGGAGGAGGAGGAGTGGGAGTGGGACGTTGAGGAGGGGTAGGAGAGGGAGGAACGAGAGGACGACGATGAGGGGGGGAGGGGGAGGATAAGGAAGAACGAGGACGTGAAAGACGTCAGCGAGTGCGCGGACACGGAAGAGCACAATGACGAGGGCAACGATCGATGTTCTGGTTGAATAATGGACCACTCGATGGATGGATGTCTCGACGGATTGGTGGCTTAATGGATGAGTGGGTGGATGGATGGATGTTTGTGTGGACGGATGAAAATCTAGAACAGCTATGGGCGGAATGGATTGATGTGTGAATGACTAGATGGACGGAAGGACGGATAAAGAAGAAGTTGGGCACGGCCAGTCAAGAACTCAGCCTGGCACCGACCAGCCGAAGGCGCAAAACGCGTTGGAGGAGTGGCCCGACAGGTCATGGTAAGTCCCACCGTGGGGAACAGAGTCCGCGCGTCAGGAAGCGCACCAGTCTACAGCGTAGTACGCAGTGGGTAAGTAGATAGTTACTACCCACGGGTTCCGAGCGGGGGGCGCTGTTTCCCAAGAGGGACAGGCGGATGGAACACAGGCCTAGCGATGGTCAATCAAGCGCGCACCCCTGACAAGAACCTGAAAGGCAGAGGCCGTTATGGACATGCACCCAACGGCGTTCTGCGAGATAGCATGCAAGCTCAGGATTGCAAGACCAGGTCGCGGGTCCACAGCAATGACGACATGGCATACAACCGCGCGACACGCAGCACGCAGCGTGCGGCAGAGAAAGTTTGAGATAAGACGCACGGAGGGTGAATCCGAGGACGGAGATGATGAGAAGGGTTTCAAGGAGGAGGGTGGAGGAGGAGGAGGAGGAACTCCAGGCACGCTCTCCACCTCCTGAAGGTGCGATGCGCATGTGGCAAGGTTGCAGCTTGATCCGCTTCTGGGCCTGCTGATGCCTCTGCCATGTTCTTCACCCACTGACCTTTCTTGATGCTTCTCTCCATTTAGGTTTCGAACCTTTGGCCGACCAACCGACCGACCCAGGAGGAGGAGGCGGACGCTGAAGAAGGAAGGGCCAGCAGGAACATGAGCAGGACGTGAGCGCGAAGAGGAGGAGGAGGAGGAGGAGGAGGAGGAGGTGGAGGAGGAGGAGGAGGAGGAGGTGGAGGAGGAGGAGGTGAGGAGGAGGAGGAGGAGGAGGAGCAGGAGGAGGACGCCGACGACGACGCGGTGGAGGGGGGCAGGAGGCAGAGAAAGGGAGCAGGAGGAGGAAGGAGGCGGCAGGAGCGCGGTTGAGGGCCGGGAGGAGGCTGCCACACAGGGGGGGGCGGGGCGGGGAACGCACGCCCGCAGGCGGAGAGGACCGCGGGCACGAAGACGCCCCCGCCGCCCGCCAGCGCTGTGCCCGTCGAGGCGGAGCGGCGGCCCCTCCTCGGCGGCCCCTCCTCGGCGGCCCCTCGGCGGCGGCCCCTCGGCGGCCCCTCCTCGGCGGCCCCTCCTCGGCGGCCCCTCCGGCGGCCCCTCCGGCGGCCCCTCGGCGGCTCTCGGCGGGCCCTCGCGGCGCTCGGCGGCCCTCGATGGCCTGGGCCGCGGCGCCACAGCCGTCGTCGTCGCCGCCGTCGTCGCCGCCGCCGCAGCCACCGCTGGCGCCGCCGCCGTCGTCGTTATCCCGACCAAGGTCCGCTCGAGACCCCCTCCCCGTGTCCATCCTGGCTAGCTTCTCGGGCCGCGCCCAGCCGTGGCGACGAGAGCTTCCAGAAATCGGGTATGCGGTGCGGCAGGTTCGAGCGAATGGCTTGGGGCAGGGGGGAAACGTCAGGGGCGCGCTCAACCCTCTTTGGCTCGAGCGCGCCTCGAGCCCATGGTCTGAAGTGGACTGGGGCCCCGATGGCTTCCTCGTGAGGCGTCGCCACCGCCGCCGGCGCCCGCCTCGGGGGGCGAAGAGTCGACCGTTTCGCGGGGGGTCCGCCACGGCCCCGCCGGCGGAGGTCCGCGCCAGTGGCGCCACGGCTCTGGAGCGGGCCGCCACCTCCCTCCGCCGGAACGCCCGCGCCGCGCTCGGAGCGCCGGGGAGGCCCGAGCGTGCGCCGGCCGACGAGCGCGGCAGCTCGTCGCACGCCGACGGCAGGACCAGCGACCACGAGGCGGCTGTGCCACGGCGCCGGGGAAGCAGGGCCCCGAGAAGCTCGGCATCTGGGAAGCGAAGCCGGTCGAACAAGGCGGGATCAGCAATTCGGGGCGTCACTTGGATAGGGTCTCCGAGCTGTTGAAGGGCGACGCGACCTTCGGCCCGCGGCCCTCGTCGCCCGCGTTTTGCTGTGGTGATGGTGCATCGTTCCTGGGAGGTTCGAGGGACCTCCACGGCGAGCCCGAGCGAAGCTCCGACCACGACGACCTGGGCCAACTGGCCGCCTCGGGCCACACGACCGCTGGCAAGGTCGCGACGAGCCCGACGCCCACGTGCCGCCGTACGGCCTGGTCTTCGAGGTGTCGGCTCTGGAACGGCTGGCCCACGCGGAGGCGACCGGGTGGGGTCGCCCAAGAGGCGCCCGCCATCGCGGGCCGCTTGCCGACGGCGGAGCCCGAAGCCCAAGGGACACGACCGAGATCGAGGCGATCTACGTCAGGATCCCCGCGGATGCCTACTTCTCAGGCGAGGTGATTCGACCACCGAGTCGATCCTCACACCTGCTTCCGAACAGAAGCGTTCTAACCACTCGGACTTCGGCCCGTGACTTCGGATGGCCTGATTCGCAGCTGGGGACGGACTGCTGTGCCCACCCGCGGAGGACGCCACCCCATGTTGGAAGTCCCGCGGAGGCAACGGTCCCCCCCCCCCCCGAGAGTTTTCCCTGTCGGGGCCCCGCCGATCTGCAGTCCTTTGCTTTGACGACGGTGCCGACGAAACGCGAGTGACCACCGATCGCTGCAATCGGTGGTCGCCCAGCTTCTCCCATACATGTGTTTGCTTTTGGGTCACCGATTCGGGGGCTCCCTCTGGCGACGTCCGAGGTCGGGACAGGGCCGTCCCCTGCGCGGGGTGGGTCTCGGGGGCGGGATTGGGATGAGGGGGGGCGGCGGCTGCGTGCGCCCGGGGAAGCCCCCGCGGCGCCTCGCCGCCCGCAGCCGACGCGGAGCTGATCGACTTCTTCGGGACCGCCAGCCCGGTCCAGGACCACCCGACCAGGCCGCGCCGGGCAGCCTCATCACCGAGGAAGCCAAGAGGCGGCTCCCCGCACAAGCGCAGCTCGCCCAGGAGCTCATTGGAGGGGAGGATCGGACGGGGCCAGACATGAGTATTCGTTCCAGAGCGTTCCGAAACGCTCTGGGGGCTCTCCGGAACGCTCTGAGAAGGCCGCAGCGCCCGAGACATCGTCCAGAGCCGTAAGATATCGGAAAATCTCGACTTGTCCTCACCCGGTGTTATCCTCGTGCTGGCTTCGTCTTTGAGGAAGCGGCAGAATCCACACTTCGACGCGGCGGAGCAGCTGCAGCATCGGCACGGCTTCGACGCCCGAGGTGCGGCGGCCGACGCGGTAGCCGACGCGCTGCTGCACTTGGCCAGCCCCAGCAACGGCGGTGGGCTGCAGGACGAGGAGGCTTGGACCATCATCAACGTCACCCCAACATTTAAGTCGGGCGTGTCCCCCTACAGGAGGATTCTCGACGAAAAATGAAAATACCCCAAACATACTTCAAAAAGGTCAACAAATTCGCAAAAAATAGTCCCCAGACTATGTTTGGACTATTTTTTTATTATTTTTTGAGTATTTTTCATTTTTCGTCGACAATCCCCTGTAGGGGGACAGGCCCGACTTAACCCAACATTGTGTGTGTCTTTCCCCCCAGTTGCGACGCGCGCGCCGGGAGATCTTGTAGTATAAGCTCCGTGGCGGGCGCCTTCTGGCCATGCCGCTCGGGAAGCAATCTGCTGCAAGATGGCCCCACTAGATGTTCGGGTCGCACGCACGCCTCCAGGGAGGACACATGGTACTGGCACGTCCTTGTGCGCCCCACATCCGAACCACTGCACAGGGGCTCCCAGCCCCAGCAACGGCGGTGGGCTTCAGGATGCGTGGGTTCGGACCATCAGGATGCTGGCGCAGGGGCTCCGGGAGCGAGGCTCGCCCCTCAGCAGCAGGGGGCAGGGCTCCAGCGCCATCGCGGGACCGCGGAGGGAGCTCGCGCGGCAGCGTTCCCGGCTTCCTCAGCGAGAGGTCCACCTCGCCCGCCGCCGCCGGAAGGCGCGAGAGCAGCCGCAGCCCTTGGCCGCCCGAGCTGAAGGGCGCGAGGATCGAGCCCTCCTCGCGCGCCTGATGGCTACCCTTTTGTCGACCACGCTACCGGGACAGGAATTCGGTTCGTTCTCAGGGGCAGCACCGGGAACCAGTATCTACCTGGGCTGCGACCGTTTCGCTCCCAACCCAGTTCCCTCGCTCTCTCTCTCTCTCTCTCTCTCTCTCGCTCTCTCTCTATCCGCCTTCCCCTCACTCCTCCTCCTCCTCCTCCTCCTCCTCCTCCTCCTCCTCATCCTCATCCTCATCCTCATCCTCATCCTCATCCTCATCCTCATCCTCCTTTTCTTCCTCCTCCTGATCAGCATCAGCATCAGCATCAGCATCATCATCATCATCATCATCATCATCATCATCATCATCATCAGCAGCATCATCATCAGTCGAATCAGAATCGTCATCATCAGCAGCAGCATCATCATCAGCATCATCATCATCATAATCATCACCATCACCATCACCATCATCATCATCATCATCATCATCATCATCATCATCATCACCATCATCATCATCATCATCATCCTCATCATCATCATCATCATCATCATCATCAGCATAATCAGTATCATCAGTACCATCAGCATCATCGTCATCATCATCATCAGCATCATCAGCAGCAGCAGTATCATCATCATCACCATCCTCAACATCCTCCCCCTCCTCCTCCTCCTCCTCCTCCTCCTCCTCCTCCCCAAATTCCTCTTCCTCCTCCTCATCCTCCTCCACCTCCTCCCGCTTCCTCATCATGCTCCTCCTCCTCCTCCTCCTCCTCCTCCTCCTCCTCCTTCTCATGCTCCTCCTCCTCCTTCTCCTCCTCATCCTCCTCCTCATCCTCATCCTCATCCCTCCTCCCCCTTCTTCTCCTCCTCCTCCTCCTCCTCCTCCTCCTCCTCCTCCTCCTCCTCCTCCTCCTCCTCCTCCTCCTGGTCGCCTCCGCCATCCGCGCGGGCCAGCAGCTTCAGAGCCGCCTCCTCGGAGACCAGGCCGTCTGGGGCACGTGAGCGTCGGGCCCTCGCGCTGCGCAACAAAGTCACGGCCGAGGACTTGGAGCAATGTTCGACCTCTGGGGGTCCTCCCCCAGGCCCAGGGACCGCCCAGTCCTCTCTCAGGACTGGCACCCGGGAGTGGGCCCAGACCTCCGGGGGCCACCGTCGTCGGACTGCTGGGCAGGGCAGCCCGCCGCTCCGGGCGGCCAGCCTCCAGGGTGGGCCGGTCGCCTCAGGGCGGAGGGCTGCCCCCGCGGCAGCCGCCCGCCCAGCCTGGCCGCCCGCGTCCGAGCCCTGGGCGCCGGGGCGGCCACCAGTCGGTTCGACGCCGCAGGCGGCAGCCTGGGCACGGGGCAGCGTGAGGTTCGAGCCACTGGATGCAGAGCCGGCGGGCGCCGAGAGGCGTCGTCTAGCAACGCGCTGCTGGCGGGCGCCGCTCCGACCTCCTCGGTGCAGAGCCGGGAGGAAGATGGCGACAGCGTCAGGAGGAGCGCCAGCCACATCCATCGCCCGGGAGGACGATGTCAAGGTACGCGCAGCACGTGGCTGCAACCGATTCCATGCGCGGGCGTGTGCGGACGATCTCAGCAGGGCGTTGGCGAAGTCGTCGCCGAAGGCCGCTGGGTGCTCGTCCAGCTTGTTCAAGCACCATCGCTGTCTTCGTCTTCCAAGGGGGCGCTTCTTTCAGTGAAAATGGGCCTGCAGGAACTTTCTAGGAGGTGGGGACTTGGGACGGGAGGGTGCATTGCAGTTCCGTTGGAGCATCCTCGGTTTACTCCCGTCCTCCTCCTCGTCATCCTGCTCCTCCTCCACATCATCATCAGCATCATCAGCATCATTATCAGCATCATCATCAGCAGCACCATCAGCATCATCAGCAGCATCAGCGTCATCATCATCACCATCATCATCAACATCATCATCAGCAGCAGCATCAGCATCAGCATCAACATCATCATCATCATCATCATCATCATCATCAGCATCATCATCATCCATCATCATCATCATCATCATCATCATCATCATCATCATCATCATCAGCATCATCATCGGCCGCATCATCGGCAGCATCAACAGCATCAGCATCCTCCTCCTCCTCCTCCCCCTCCTCCTCCTCCTCCTCATGCTCACCTTCATCCTCATCTTCGTCCTCATCCCGTCTCCTCCTCCTCCTCCTCCTCCTCTTCCTCCTCCTCCTCTTCCTCCTCGCTGATCCTCCTCCTGCTTCTCTTCCTTCTCCTCCTCCTGTTGTACTTTAGACCGACCTGGGCGTGAACCCGATGGCGTTTGTGCAAAGTGTAAAACAAATGCAAACATGCAGGTGGACGACTCGGCGCAAAAAAAGACCTGGCGGGCGCCGCAGAAAATGAACTAGGTAAAGGATCGGAAAAGACGAGAAACAAAGAGCAGGCGCCCGCCGGGTCCACGAGGTCGGCACTGACCTTCGTGGTAAGTACCCCCAGAGAAAAGGAACGCAGAAGTAATGACCCCTGCTTGTTTAATGGTACAATCAACCATGATAGTAAGGATGGGCAACCTTCCCAAGGGTACCCTTACATCCTCGCCTCCTCGGTCCATCATTCGCCGCTTTCGCTTGCCGCGCCCCGCTCGAAAAGCTTCGAAATGGGCGTCCATGGCCCTTGCATCCTTATCGCGCATCCTTACTATACTGGTTGACTGGTGCCGCCTCGGATGGCAAGGATATAAATATGGTGCAGGACGTGCCGCAGTGTAAGCGACCGCCTCTCGGTTACAGGCAAAGTGCATGCGAGCTTCCTTCGTCCCCCCGCTCCTCCTCCTCCTCCTCCTCCTCCTCCTCCTCCTCCTCCTCCTCCTCCTCCTCTTTCTCTTTCTCCTCCTCCGCCTCCTTCTCCCTCCTCCCTCCTCCCTCCTCCCACCTCCCGCTTCCTCCACCTCCTCCTCCTCCTCCTCCTTGCTCTTCCCCTCTCTGTCGAGAACGGCCGGGGGTCTAGGTCAGCCTGGTCAGCACCATCGACGGCCCGCTGACGTTCAGCACAGAGCCTCCCTCGTCAGGACGGCCAGCCCAAGCAATGAGGAGGAGCAGGAGCAGGAGAGAGTGAGGAGGAGGAGGCACAGGAGGAGGAGGAGGAGGAGGAGGAGGAAGATGAGGAGGGAGGAAGGAGGTGGGAGGGGGGAGGTAGGAGGAGGAGGAGGAGGAGGAGGAGGAGGAGGAGGAGGAGGAGGAGTGGAGGAAGAGGAGGAGGAGGAAGAGGAAGAGGAAGAGGAGGAGGAGGAGGAGGAGGAGGAGGAGGAGGAGGAGGAGGGAGGAGGTAGGAAGGAGGAATAGGAAGAGAGAGGAAGGAGAAGGGAGGAGGGAGGAAGAGCAGGAGGAGGGGCGCCAGCGGCTCCGCAGGCTCGCCGCCCCGCCCGCGCACGGCGCAGGGGCTACAGTGCTCCTCCGGCGGCCTCCCCTGCCGCGAAGCCCACGAGCGCCTCTCCCCCACGCCGCGCCGCCTCCCTCTGGCGACCTCCCCTGCGGGTTTTGTGCGGCTCTCGGGGGCCCGCAAACAGTGAGGCGTGGTGAGCCCGTGGAGATTTTTCTCCTCCTCCTCCTCCTCCTCCTCCTCCTCCTCTTCCTACTCCTCCTTCTCCTCCTCATCCTCCTCCTACTCCTCCTCCTTGCTGAGATCCTGCTCCTCCGGGACGGTCACCGCACGGTTTTGGAACTCCCAGCCCCAGCCCCAGCGGGTCGGTCTCCAAGGTCGTCTCGGGCGACGGGAGCTTCCAAGGTCCCAAGACAGTGCGGTGACGGACCGCGCGGTGAGGTCTCTTGGGGTGTCGAGGTCACCACACGGTGTGTCACCACACGGTTTTGGGACCCCCAAGGCTCAGCTCATGTCTCGTTTAGCCCAGGAGTGTCCCAGGCAACGCACAGGTGATCGCAGCGATGACGTGGATCGAGTTTCTCATGGCCTTTCGGCTAAAGCTGATACCGTCAGGAACTTTGGCGCTCAGAGTCCTGAGTATTCCCCAGCCTCCCGCCCAGCGGAGCGGAGCGACACGCTAATTATCCACTCGCAAAGACTTGCGTGTCGCCGGGGCCGCCGCCGCGACACGCTAAGTAAAGGTTTCCGATCGTATGCGGCTCAGCTCATGTCTCGTGTAGCCCCGGAGTGCCCCAGGCAAGGCGCAGGTGCTCGCAGCGGTGACTTCGATTGAGTTTCCTGTGGCACTTGTGGCCTGCAGCCCAGTGGAGAGCCGAGCTGGCCAGGACTCAGCAAACACGAGTGCCTCGGTCGCCGACCTGGCCGCTGTAGCCAGAACTTCAGAACTCTCCCCGCCCAGGCTGGGAGTCCTGGCTGGGAGCGGCGGCGGGTGGAGATCCCCGCTGCGCCCCACGGCCGCAGGCGGCCGCGCCTGCGGCTCCGCCGGCCTCTTCTGCGCCCTCGCTTGGCGCCTGCCCCGCGGCTCCTCGTCCTCGGAGGGCCCGCGGCCGCCTCGATCCTCGATCCTCTCCCCGGCCAGGCCCCAGGGCACTGAAGCCGACCTTCGGGTCGGGGCCGCCGAGGGGTCGCCAGTGCCACCCGTGGCTCCCGCAGGGGCGGCAGCACAGGCCGCCAGCGCTCTTGGAGTCCACGGGGGCTATGAACGCGCCCGGACTCGCACGCCCGTGGGCCAGGCGGAAGGCTTCCCCTGACGAGGACGCCCTCGACGGACACAGCGGCGCGGCCAAAGGTGAATTAGGCGCAGCTGAGTAGAGCGGGGGCGACCAGATCAAGGGTGTCGTCGCAGCACAGCAGCTCGAAGCCCGCAACAATGGAGATGACCTGCGGTCAGGATCTTCGGCTCAGCGTGTCGCTTCGCCAGTCCTGGCCCACCGCGCTTCGGCACGACAAGCCATCCAGTTCCCGGCCCCCCAGCATCAACCTCCTGAGCTCTTCCGAACCTTCAGCCCCGCAGTGCGGAGCGACACGTTATCCGCTTGCAGGGCATATCGGGTCGCCGGGGCCGCCGCGGCGACACGATAAGCAAAAGTTCTTGACCGTGTAGCCCATCCCGCAAAACCCGCCGCAGGGGACCAGCTCGGGCCCCGTAGCTCTCCACGGCTACGGCCGCCTGCCACGCACGGGTCAGTATCCACTGCGAGCCGTCTGCTGCCAACCGCAAGGCGGTCGTGGTCTTGGTCTGTGGATGGAGACATGGAAACATTTGCGGAGCTGCTTCACGACGGCGAGATCTCCCAACGGGACCTGAGATCCACCGTGGGCCCAGGACAAGAAGGATACCAAATCTTGTGGCTCAGCCTGTTAGACCCGTATGACCTAGCACCGCGCCAGACGCTCCGGGCGCGCCCGCTCGCGGCCCCGACGATCGGTGGGCTGCTCGGCGTGCCGACAGGGCCTTCCAAGTAGGACGGCTCGGCCTGCGCGCTCCCGTCGCAGCGCAGGCACTTGATGACACCAGTGGCCAACCTGGCCACGCCATGCTCAGTGGCCGCGAGCGCCAGCATGGGCGGCGCGGGCGGCACTCTTCCTGACCACCGCCAGCACCCGCACTGACCCGCCGACGGAGAGCCGCCAGGCTCGCTCCGCTGGGCAGGCCACCTGCTCTGTCATAGCGCCGCACGCATTCACGTGCGCAGCTGGATCTCCTGCGCCCTCGCGTGCGCGTCGGACACGCTGTGCACCGGAAGAACGCACATTGGCAAAGATGCCAGCCCAACAGTTGCCGACGTGCCGGTAGGCCGTGCCGTCGGCGAGCACCGCGTCATCCAAGCCTCGACGTGCTCTGATCTCACCCACTCCGCGGTGAGCAGCGCGTGGCCGCTACGTGCCACGGTGGCGCAGATCGGCTGCCACACCGTCGTATGTTCAGCACGAGGCCTTGCGTGATGTTCGGCCCTCGGCATAGTTAGTGCCCTGAGCAGGGTAACGACAGTGTTGATTTCCGCCACCGCTCAGACATATCGTCAAAGCTGCGCGAAGGCTGCGCGCCTGCCCGAGACAGCAGTAAACAAGGTGTGGTTCTGAGGCGGAGGAGAAGGAGAAAAGAGGTGAAGGAAGATGAAACGGAGGATACGCAGATACGCAGAAGGATTGAAGGGGAATGGGAGGACGAAGGAGTATAATGATGATGACGATGGTGATGATGGTGGAGGTGGTGATGATGGTAATTATGATGATGATGCTGGTGATGACGATGATGGTGATGATGATGATGCTTCTGCTAATGACGATGATGATGATGATGATGACGGTGGTGGTAATGGTGATGATGGTGATGATGATGTTGATGATGGCGATGACGATGATGGCGATCGTGATGATGCTGGTGATGAGGACGAGGATGAGGATAAGGATGGTGATGAGGATGATGATGATAGTGATGCTGATGCTGATGCTGATGCTGATGCTTATCATGATGACCATGATTATGGTGATGATGGTGGTGATGATGATGGTGGTGATGATGATGTTGTTGATGAGGGTGAGGGTGAGGGTAAGGGTGAGGGTGATGATGGTGGTGGTGATGATGATGTTGATGATGTTGGCGATGATGATGACGATAATGCTGATGACGATGATGATGATGCTGATGATGATGATGATGCTGGTGCTGATGATGATGATGATGGTGATGACGATGGCGGTGGCGATGATGGCGATCGTAATGCTGATGCTGGTGTTTATGGTGATGATGCTGATGATGATGATGCTGATGTGGTGGTGGTGATGGCAGTGATGCTGATGGTTGTGATGGTGATGCTGATGATGATGGTGGTGGTGATGGCGATGATGGTGGTGGCCATGATGATGGTAGCGGTGATCGTGGTGATGGTGGTAGTGGTGATGGTGAGTGTGATGGTGACGGTGGTGATGGTGACGGTGATGGCCATGATGACGGTGGTGGTGTTTGTGATGGTGACGGTGATGATAGTGATGGTGGTGATGGTATTGATGATGGTGATGGTGGTGATACAGGTGATGACGATAGTGATGATTGTAAGGGTGAGGGTGATAATGAGGAGGAGGAGGAGGAGAAGGAGGAGGAGGAGAAAAGGAGGAGGAGGGGAAAGGAGGAGGAGAAGGAGGAGGAAGAGAAAGCAGCGGCACCATGAGCAGGAACACAAGGAGGAGGAGGTGGAGGGTGGAGGAGGAAGAGGAGGAGCAGCAGCAGGAGGAGTAGCTGCAGCAGGAGGAGGGGGGTGAGGAGGGATACGCTCAGGAACCTGTGCTTAGGGTGTCGCGCCGCTGGTTCTCTTCGGGGCGGCATGCTAAACACGTTCCAGTCTGCAAGCCTCAAGCATCAACGTTCCTGACTCTCTACAGCTTCCTGGTATGTCTAGTAAAATATCATGATTATGATTGTTATAAGTTTGATTAGCGTTACTAGTAACATCATTAGCATTACGAGTATTACTCGTATGATATGATATCCCCGTTCCTCGTCCTTTTCTTCTTCACCCCAATTGGCTGAAGGCAAGTCTCGAATGTGGTTCGAAACAGGACCCTCTTGTGCTACCAAAACTAGGAGCTGATTGCCTTGAGCAGTGGCTGCAGGCTGGCTGTGCCAGCGAGGTGCATTTGTTCGTTGCCCTCTTCTCCGTGCCATCGAGCGCGCGCCAGGGGCAGCGGGGCACTGGTAGCTGACACCCTCCGCCGGGTGCAGTGCTGGGATCTCTCGGCGCTACGTGATGCAGGCCAGGTCTTTCGTCCCTCGGATAGCAGGTTGGGTTTGCCCTTGTCTGGGTTCAGTGGCAGCAGCGCGGCGCAGGGGCAGCCAGACGTCATCAGCTGCGCTGCTGGATGGATAGTGGCCCAGAGCAACGCGGGAGGGCGATGCCCTACGTCACTACTGACTGCTGGCGCCAGCGCATGCAGGAGGGCGAATGGCGAGGTGGCGGTGGTTCTGCTCTCTTCTGGAAGACCTTCCCGATGTCGTTGGGGGGAGGCACGCGTTCCGATGGTGAGGCGATGGCGGCATTGTGTCCCTCGCCCGTGCCTTCCTTCCGCTGTCTTCCATGCCTTCTCTCTTCGTGTGGCGTTTGCGCTCTCGGCGACATCTCGCGTGAC